CGCCAGCTGGAGGGCGGTGGTGTGCCGTGGGATGGGGTAGGCGACGTTTCCCCGCCGGGAGAGAGGTCGGAGCGCGTTCCCCAGGCCTTGCCCAGCCGTCCCCCGGCTTCGTGCTGACAGCTCCTCGTCCGTGAAAGGTCAGCGGTGGGGTGCGGCGTCCCCCGCCGGGGCGCGAGGGAGAGCCGCCGCCTTCCGGGCTGCTCCGCTTCCCGTTCGCAGAGCGTGCGTGGAAGGGGTTTGGGGGTGCGACGGGTCGGTGCCTGGCCAACCGAGTGACCTCTGAGGAGCGCGGGGAGTTTGGAGCGGGCAGAGGGGGCCGGTGCCGTCCCGGCGCAGGGTAACCGGCGGCCCCAGGACCCCCAGCCAGCGCATCCCGGAGCCGCTTCTGGCTTCCTGGGGAGGATGACGGTGGCCTTGGCCTTGTCTGGGGATACAGGCTTCTCGCTGGGGGCTGCGAAGCCTCCCGTGGTGGGGCTCGCCTTGGAAGTGAGCACCGTGGGTGGGACGGCGCCGAGCGCTACCAAAAAGAAGCCGTCCGTGGTGGGGCTCGCCTTGGAAGTGAGCACCGTGGGTGGGACGGCGCCGAGCGCTACCAAAAAGGATGAAGGACGTCGCCCTCTTAAAGAGAGACCAAACGCTGCACCCCACTTATGTTTGTTATTTTAGCTTAAAAACCCTCGACAGATTGCGTCTTGCGGAGGGGAGCGAACTCCATGCTGGGGAAGCGCGGGGAGCCGGCGGGCTGCTGCCGGTGGTTTTGAGTTAAAAGCGGTAAGTACGGGAAGCCCAAGAAGCCCCCGACTGCGGTTGACTCCTCCGAGACCCGGGACGCACGGAGCTGAAAGCTGCCCGAGAGCGCACCGCTTCCATTAAAGCCTTTAGAGGGGAAAATCCTGGGAAAGTAGCACAGAACAGAGAGGTTGGCTTTTTTTTTTCCCCCCCGAGCTCTTCAGGTTAAAAATATTTGCAAAGTGGGACGGGATGAGAGGACGCCTGGCTTACTTCGCCAGCCTCGCGTGTGAAAGCCTGAGGCGCCGGAGAACGTGCCGCGGGGAGCGAGCCTGCTTTGGCCGGAGGGGGAGACGGACGGCGCCGGCACGTTGCGGTGGATCGGAGCAGGGAAGCGCTCCCCGTGGAGCCGCCTCCTGCCCGGGGACGGTGGGCTGACCGCAGCCCCCCGCGCCGAGGCTCGTTAGCTGCCTGTGTGATTGCTCGCCGCGCGTCCCGGGTGGGTTTCCCCTGCGCGGAGCAGAGGGTCGTGCTGAGCCTGCGGTGGCCTGAGCGTGTCCTCGGCCGCTGCCTCGTGCCCCGAGGAAGGTTCCTGCTATTTTTTCTCCCTCTCTTAATGTCTCTGCGGTCGTTCTCTTCTCCCCGTCAGCGCTTTTCACCCCGATCCACAACGCCAGCGATGCCGCAGCAGAAATGTCACCTCTCCGCCGGAGTCGGCCTTGCGGGCAGGCCTGATCCTGCTGATCCGCTGCCGGCCTTGAGAGTACCGCGTCCCCTCCCGCTGGCTTTTCGGTGCCGGCTGATCTCCCTCGCCGCGCTGCGGGAGGATAAATGGGAACGCCGCGTCCGCTGGCCGACGCTGTGTGTGCCCCCGGTGCGTTCTCTTTGAAGTCGGCGGCCTTGGCTCTTCCTTCTCCCTGGCCCCCTGCTCTCCTGGTCTGTTGGGAGCCTGCGCTGTTCCTGCCCTGCCTTTCCTGGGACGTCCGCTGGGCGCGGGGAGCGCCCCGCTGCCTGCAGAACGGCAGGATGTTCTTTCTACCTCCAGACAACTTTCTTCTTGCTCTTCGCTGAGCGGAACGTCTCCGCTCCGCTGCCGGGATCTGCGTGCACGCCGTTTCACTGAGTGGTTGCAGATGGGACCTGGCGGGATTTCCTCCCTTTTCGGTTTCTGAGCGGTTTTTGTACCACCCCACCCTCCCCAAACCCTGCTCCGGGCCGCAGGGTCCTGGCTGGGCTGGTGGAGCCCGTTAACCTGGCAGAAAACTCTTTTTTTTTTTCCCCCCGGGTTAATGAGCTCCGCTCGCTCCCCCTCGGGCCGGGCAGCGGAGGACAGCAGCCTCCGCAGCAGCGGAGGGGCCGGATCCTGTTCGTCCAAGCCCCAGCTCTGCCCGCAGCTTGCAGGCAGCTGCCTCCCCCTGGCTCTGTACCAGCTGGGCAGCATCTACCTTTCAAGATGCTTATTAACCCTTGCGTAGGATATTAAAAATGCAGAAGGGCTGTACAAACGGCTCGGTGCTCCTTGCCGGCCAGGGCTCGTATTGGTTTATAGACTCGCCGACCGTGCTGCGACGTGGCTTGCGGGCGATTTTGCCGCGACGGGAGCAGAGCCCCGGGCTGCTGTGGCAGAATACTCTCTATTTTGGGTAAAAGACCGACTGCAAGGCTAGTTCCCGCTGTTGTGGGAGGGCCGGGGACAGCGAGAGCAGCCCTCCCAAGCC